CCGCCAGACCTTCACGCTTCCGGACTCTCCACAGCAGAATGGGATTGCTGAGCGCCGCATCGGCATTGTCATGGACGTCGCCCGTACGTCCATGGTGCATGCGGCTGCCCCCCATTTTCTGTGGCCATTTGCGGTTCGGTACGCCGCGCATCAGATCAACCTTCAGCCCAGGGTCTCCAGACCGGAGACCTCCCCAGCGTTGCTGTGGACGGGGAAGGTTGGCGATGCGTCGGCGTTCCGGGTCTGGGGATCTCGGGCATTTGTCCGCGACTTGACTGCGGACAAGCTGTCCCCTCGTGCTGCTCCTTGCGTCTTCCTGGGTTTCCCCCCTGACGCACCTGGGTGGCAGTTTTACCACCCCACCTCTCGTCGTGTTCTGTCCTCCCAGGACGTCACGTTCGACGAGTCGGTTCCCTTCTACCGGCTCTTCCCCTACCGCACTCCGTCCCTCCCCCCGCCGCCCCTCTTCCTGGTCCCAGGTCCCCCCCCGGTAGACCCCCTCCCCCCTCAGGGTCCTGCCCCTTCAGGTGTGTCTCAGGTAGACGCGGTCGAGCCTGTCGAGGTCACTGATGACTCTGGTGCTGCTGCGGGTGCGGAGCCTCGGGGTGCTGAGACTGGGGGTGCTGAGCCTGGGGGTGCTGAGCCTGGGGGTGCTGAGACTGGGGGTGCTGAGCCTGGGGGTGCTGAGCCTGGGGGTGCTGAGCCTGGGGGTGCTGAGCCTGGGGGTGCTGTGCCTGGGGGTGCTGAGCCTGGGGGTACTGCGTCTGGGAGTGCTGCGCCTGCTGCTTCTGTTCCTGGTGGTTCTCCAGACCGTTCTTCGCGCCGCGAGCCGCTCTCTCCTCTGGAGCTGCGTGAGTGGTTTGCCCGGCGCTGGAGACGAGCTGCTGGAGCTGAGGATGCTGCGGGTGCTGGAGGTTCTGTTGCTGCCGAGGGAGCTGGTACCACGGGTCCCGGAGGTGCTCGTACTGAGGGTACTGGAGCTGCCGGGCCCGGGGGTGCCTCTGGAGCTGGAGCTGCTGCGGGTGCTGGCGCTGAGACTACGACTGTCGGTCCTACTGAGGGTACTTCTGGCGCTGCCGGAGGTGCTGGAGTTGGAGCTGCTACTGGTGCTGGTGCTGCCTCTGGAGGTGTTGGTGCTGTCCCTGCTGTCTCTGGCGGTGCTGCGCGGCCTCGGCCATACTTCGTTCCGCTCCTTCAGCAGGTTCTTGGTCTCCCGCCTTCCTCTGGTCCTTCTCCTCCCGTAGAGTGTCCACAGCCTGTCCCGTCACAGTCCCAGTTATAGCCCGCCTCTCCCCTGCCTTCTCCTTCTCCCTACGCTGGTCCTACTAGAGGCCTTGCTGAGCGTCGTGAGCCTGCGTCCTGCCCTGCGTCGCCCGTCCGAGCTGCTCGCCCTAGTGGTCGCGGTTCGCGTCAGCGTCCTCCTCCTGTCCCTGGCACACACAGGATGTCTTTGCGTCCGTCCACTGCTCCTCTGCGTGCCCCTTTGCCTTCTCCTCCTCAGTCTTCTCTTCCTACACTTGCCGACCCGGAGTCGAACTCTCGCCGTGCTGCCAGTCCTACTGTCACGCGTCTTCTTGCTTCTCTTGTCACTGACCCTTCCTTTGAGTCCGCTGCTGCGTCTGCCCTAGTTGCTGAGCTGGTCAACTTTGCTGCTGCGTGTCGACTAGACTACGCTGCTAGTCTTGTTGCTGAGTCTGCTGAGTGTGCATCTGCGTCTGCTGCGTCTGCGTGTGCCTGTCCTCCGTCCGTCGGGGGTGACTGTGCTCTTGGCACGGACGTCCTTGAGGACAGGCAGGAGGAGTTCCAGTGCTTTGCCGCCGCTTTGCCTCATCTCGTGTCCATGCTTGTTGCCCTTGAGGGAGACCCGGATGCTCTAGACATCCCGACCCCACGCTCTTACGCAGAGGCGATGGCCGGTCCCTACTCCTCTCAGTGGCAGTCAGCCATGGACGCAGAGATGGCTTCCTGGAAGTCCACAGACACCTACGTTGACGCTGTTCCCCCTCCTGGTGCGAACATTGTCAGTGGCACGTGGATTCTCAGGGTGAAGCGGCCGCCGGGTTCTCCGCCTGTCTTCAAGGCGCGCTACGTGGCTCGTGGCTTCAGTCAGCGACAGGGAGTTGACTTCTTTCAGACCTTCTCCCCGACCCCGAAGATGACCACTCTTCGGGTTCTACTGCACGTCGCTGCTCAGCGTGACTACGAGCTACACTCTCTTGACTTCAGCACTGCTTTCCTACAGGGCCGCCTGCACGAGGAGATCTGGCTGCGCCGCCCTCCTGGCTTCACTGGGTCGTTCCCTCCAGTTACCCAGTGGAGCCTCCGGCGGCCAGTCTACGGTCTCCGCCAGGCGCCGCGTGAGTGGCACGACACACTGAGGACTACACTTGCGGCTCTTGGGTTTGCTCCTTCTACTGCTGACCCGTCGCTGTTTCTGCGCACCGACACCTCGCTGCCGCCGTTCTACATCCTCGTGTACGTCGACGACTTGGTCTTTGCCACTGCGGACACTGCCGCACTCGCCCACGTGAAGTCCGAGCTGCAGAAGAGACACACGTGCACAGACCTGGGTGAACTGACAAGCTATCTTGGCTTGCGGATCACCCGGGACAGAGCACGCCGCACCATTACCCTGACTCAGTCACACATGGTGCAGCAGGTCCTTCAGCGCTTCGGCTTCACGTACTCCTCGCCTGAGTCCACTCCTCTGCCTACGGGACACTCGCTCTCAGCTCTGCCTTCGGATGAGTCCGTAGAGTCGAGTGGTCCGTATCCAGAGCTTGTGGGCTGCCTCATGTACCTGATGACTTGCACTCGACCTGACCTCGCATACCCTCTCAACATCTTAGCACGCTATGTTGCTCCCGGCTGTCACCGGAAGGAGCACATGGATGCAGCTAAGAGGGTGTTGCGCTACTTGTGCAGTACGTCGGGCATGGGGCTAGTGCTTGGAGGGCGTGAGCGGCCTGTGCTCACTGGGCACTCAGACGCTTCTTGGGCTGACGACTAGGCTACTCAGAGGTCGTCTCAGGGTTACACCTTCAGTCTTGGCTCTGGCTCTGTCTCTTGGCGCTCTACTCGCTCTTCTTCTGTTCTCAGCTCCAGCTGTGAGGCTGAGATCTACGCCACGGCCATGGCTGCACAGGAGCTTCGCTGGCTCACCTACCTGCTGACCGACCTTGGAGAGCGGCCTCGTTCTCCTCCAGTGCTGTACGTCGACAACAAGGCAACCATTGCCTTGTGTCAGGAGCACAGACTGGAGCACAGGACGAAGCACATTGCTCCGCGCTACTTCCTTGCTCGAGAGCTGCAGCAGCGTGGTCAGCTTCGCCTGCGTTTCGTGGCCACTGAGGCCAACACTGCTGATGTGTTCACCAAGGCACTTCCGCCTCGTGACCATCAGCGCTTTTGCACTTTGCTAGGCCTTGTGCCCACTGGGCCTCACTTGCTTACCTCTTGACCTTGCTTGTACTGCTGCATATATATATCCTTGCTCTTGCTTGTTTAGCACTGTTATATATATATGCTCTGCTGCATGTGAACTGGCCTTGTGGCCTTGACCTTGTGCTCGGAATTTGTGTGGTATCCTTGAGATCCACCCTGAGCTTGCTTTGCTTTGCTTTGCTTTGCTTGACTGGTCTTGTGACCCCTTGCTCTCCCCCACTTTGCCTATGGGGGTGTGTCAGATGATTATATTGCTGATACATATATTTAGGCTGTAGTGGGGTAGCCCATAGGGGGTACAACCCAATTAGGGTTGGTACTTGTACTTGTTTCATTTCATAGTGTATCATTCCTCGCCTCTATCTCAACAGTTCAGTGCGCGGTAATCGATGCACATCCGTAAACTACTGTCTAGCTTTGGAGTGAGGAGAACTGGTGCACCGTAGGGAGAGGTGGATGGGCGGATCAGTTGTCTGTCCAGTAGATACTCTATCTATTTTTTCATGTCTGTCAGTTCGGTCGGACTCAGTCGGTATGGTGCACGTGAGACGGGTTTCGCACCTGGTTCCTCCACGATCTCGTGCTCGTGGGTGCGTGCTGGAGGTACGCCTGCGGGTAGGTCGTTGGTCATTATATCCTTGTACTGCTCCAAGACCTCCTCCTCTGCTGCTGCCATAACCAGTGCTAAGTAACCCGTGTTACTCTCGTTCACTGTCCGTTCGAGCCGTGCCAGTGTTGTTTAAGGAACGCTCCCTGTATCCGTCCAGCTTCGCAGCTCCACTCGTTTCCCGTTGTTGTAGATGCACGTTTTCCGGTTGACCCAGTCGATCTCGGGGTTGAACCGCTTCAGAAAATCTCGCCCCAAGATGAAATCTCCCGAGGGGCCAGCGATGTTGACGAGGGTGGGTTCGGGCCCTTTGAATTTCGCAACCGACCAGCCTGCCCGGCGAGGGCAGCCCGAGAAGGTTACTAGGGCCTCGCGGGCAACGCGAAGCGAATGTCCGCCTCCGTGAAAGGGTAACTAGGCCCCTCGTCGCTCGCGCGCGAGTTTGCCACCCCTCGGTTGCAACGTGGGGTTCTGTAGGAATTCGGGGTGGGGGGCCGGGGCGGGGGGCGTGGGCAGAGAGCCCCACCCCGCGCCAGCCTGGCGGGGGACTCACGCGAGGGAGTTGGCCGACCTGACGCTCGGTCGACCGTCACCCCCCTGCGTCGTCCCAGGCAAAATGGGTGCGTCACCCCGAATTCCGATGAGCGATTCAGAGGGAATCAGCTCACCAGGTGCACGATGACTGCTATACCCCACGTCATGAGTCGATTGCAGAGCACGATGAAGGGGAAGGAAGATGTTTGAGAGTTGACTCAAAGGGCACTGACTGACTCACCAGGTGCATTGTGACTGCCTCACCACACGTCATTTGGCGATTGCAGAGCACGATGAAGAGCGGTGCATGTTAAAGAGTTGACTCAAAGGGCACTGACTGACTCAGCAGATGCACGACGACCGCCACACCTCACGTCATTTGGCGATTGCAGAGCACGATGAAGAGCGGTGCATGTTAAAGAGTTGACTCAAAGGGCACTGACTGACTCACCAGATGCACGATGACTGCCACACCGCACGTCATGAGGCGGTTGCAGAGCACGATGAAGAGCGAGTGCTGGAAGTACTCCGAGTCCTCGTCCCTGTCACCGTACGGGAACTTCATTATCTGCTCCTGCATTACAAGCACACGACAGATTCCGACCACCGATCTCAGCAACGCAAGTGAACCAGAACATTTGAAGGCTTTAAGAAGGGTGGACCAGAACGCAACACAAATGACACGCCAAGGCTAATCCGGGAAGGTGTAACAGAGTCGAAAGTCGAAGGAACGTAACGTAACGCCGGTCCTTGCCACAGCAACGCACCTGGCCAGCCAATGGTGTGGGCCCCTCACCTCAACGACGAAACCAAGCTTGGTTCAGGCTCGTAAGGGCCATGAGAGTCGCAGCGACGCACATGGCCAATGTCGTACACGATGAGCGTGCCCACCACGCCGATATTAGGTCACGTTGCCTTATCAGCTTCCGAATGTCGCATTTCCGTATCACCTTCGCTAGGTCGCTTTACCCATTATTAATCGCAGCGGCGCACCTGGCCAATGCCGTACACGATGAGCATGCCAACCACGCCAATGAAGCACCATATCAGCTTCGCCAGGTCGCCTTTCCCAGCGGCTTTTCTCCGGTTCATCGAGCTTGACCTACAACCAACGAAATTCGCGAAAGAGAATAGCCACGTGATAAAATAAATGTTTTGAGACGTCTCAAAACAATCGACGCAGCTTTTCTCCGGCTCATCAAGCTCGACCTACAACCAGTGCAATTCGCGAAAGAGAAGGTCCGTTCTCGTCGCCGTCTTCTAAGGCGATATGAAAAAAAATCCATTGAAGTGACAGTGAACACTCGAATTGACGCTTCTAGACCAACTTGAAATCTTAATAACCTGGGAATCGACAAACAGCAGGTGATGGAGCAAGAATCGAGGATAGATGGCCATGGGGGATGACATACGGTCATACGACGGAAGATCTAGATGACGAATAAAATGGCGTGCAGAAGTCTACGAGCAATAGGTTTGTCCATTAAAGACCATCGTTCACCTGCCATAGTCGAGCGTTCTAGACTAGGTGCTGTTTCGTGCGTCGAAGCTGCCATGACGCAACAGGCCCTAGCAGGACCCCACCACAGCCATTGGTATGTGATGTGACATCAGCAAGATTTGGAATATGGGCCAGCAATACGATAATACGGTTGCTATTGAACAAGTTATCCCAGCATGTTGCCTTCGAGGTGCTACTCGCAAGAAATTTGCCGTGAAAAGGTTTTGCCTAGTTGGTTCATAACACGAATTCTGCTGGTTCTAGGAACGATGTATTAGTTGTTAGTAGCAGTTAGGTGGGCTGGGAAGATAACCGCATAACAAGGAGAGAACGAAATGCGTTCACAGTACTTCGAAAGTGTTATACCTGCGTCCAATCGCTTCATCTCGCCCAATCTGGTTACTGGCGGTTCAGCGCATCGATATTTGTGATTTGGGATTGGGATTGCCGTGGCGAGTGCCTCTGTTACTGGCTGTGTTGTGGATCTGCGAAGAACGCGTGCGATCTTTGGACTCGGGTCGGGTCGGGGGAGTTTCTGGTGGGGGAGGAGAGAGAGGGGCGGGGGGGGTCAGCAGATGTGGGACCCCATGGGCGTGATTACATAGAGTAACCAGTTTCGGAACTAATACCTGCTCGTCTGCGCTACTTCAATGCACACATTGTCTGGACTTCATCCGAGTATCGAACGAGTCCTTTCTGGAGCGCGGCCTCAATGTCAAGGAAGAAGGCCCGACTGTGAAAGAACCCAAATGAGTAGGTTGGTGCGGCATGGTTCGTTGGGAACGGGAAGGGATCAAGGTCATCAAAATGTCGGCGGAGCGGAGAGGAAGGCCTTGACCGGGGTAGGAAAGGAAAGCACTGTTCGCTGCCCAGCATCCCTCCGAGATGGAAAAGTATGCGCGAAGAAACGCAGTGGATACGGGAGGAGGGATACTTGGGCGAGGGGGAAAAGGAAGGCGGGAGAAGGCATTTTGAGTGCGCCAAGGCTGACTGGGGGAGGTGGTTTTGGGGAGGTGGCGCAGTTTGAGAGAATGCATTGTACACGGGATTCCCGTTAGATACCCACAACTTTACTCGTCATTTGGGTGTTTAGTGAGCAACTACCGTTTTGCCTGCTCGTCAACATTCACCACGGGCAAAATCGGGACTGTAGTGGGCGGGTGAAGAAATGTAACCAGCGTCTTCAAAATATCTCACAAACGGACGGATGCCAGCGTGATAAGCTGTATGTTCAACGGCCGCGATCAAAATAGGGGCTTGTATCGTGTGTGCAATTAGTCGGTACCAAAGGCAATTGGGCAGACTGTCGATATTGGGCAGACCTTATTTGCGTGCAACGGCTGAACATCATGTGTAACGTATAAATGCATTACTTAATGCATTTTGAGAAGTCTCTTCTTTGTCAAACTTACGCTAGGCAGATGGTTCAGACCAACTAAAGCATCCCAAGGGCACTACTTCATATAGCAGACCTGTTGTATTGGGCATGAACGCTACTGCTGAGAACAAAAAGAGAGGGTGAAGCACTACAACCTTTGCAGAATCCAGCCCTCTAGGCCCTTCCGAAACCCCAACGAAAGCATTTTATGCGCTCAATGCACAAGTAATTATGCGTTATAGGCTCGAAATATATTGTGGCATGTCGGAAAATCATCTCTGCCCATACTCTTCCCCTTCTCTCCTGCTCCTAGCCCTCTGGCTGTCAGAACATATCTATAGCTTATACTGCTGTGTAGGCTGTAGTGGGGTATCCCATAGGGGGTACAACCCAGTTAGGGTTTCATATTTGTACTGCTTTCATTCATAGTTCATTCATTCCTGCTTACTCATTTACACATGGTATAGAGCTAGGTCCCTCCAGGACCGAAATTTTTTTTTGGGCCCACCGAAGCGCGCCCCCGAGGCGCGATTTTTTTTAGCGACCCCTCGAGTCGCCCTCTCCCCTGCGGCCTCGCCGCCCACTCTGTCGCGGCCCCGCCCTGCTCCTTACGCGGCCCCGCCGCCTGCTCCTTACGCGGCCCCGCCCCGGCCCTTACGCGGCCCCGCGTCGCCTCCTACGCGGCCCTTACGCGGCCCCGCGCCGGCCCCTTACGCGGCCCTTACGCGGCCCTTACGCGGCCCCGCGCCGGCCCCTTACGCGGCCCTTACGCGGCCACGCCGCCAGCTCCTACGCGGCCCCGCGCCGGCTCCTTACGCGGCCCGTCCCCGGCCCCTACGCGGCTCCGCGCCGGCTCCTACGCGGCTCTTACGCGGCCCCGCGCCAGCCCCCCCCCTTACGCGGCCCTGACGCGGCCACGCCGCCGGCTCCTACGCGGCCCCGCGCCGGCTCTCACGCGGCCCCGCAGCTGGCTCCTACTCGGCCCCGCAGCCGGCCCCTTAAGCGGCCCCACCGCCGGCCTCCTACTCGGCCCTGCCCCGGCTCCTATCACGGCCCCGCCCCGGCTCCTTCGCGGCCCTGCCCCGGCTCCTACGCGGCCCTACCGCCGGCCCTGACGCGGCCCCGCCCCGTCTCACTTCTACGCGACCCGAGCCGCCTGTCGCCGAGCAGCCCGGGACCCGAGCCGCCCTGCAGCCGAGCCGCCCGGGAGCCGAGCCGCCCTGCACCCGAGCCGCCCTGCAGCCGAGCCGCCCGGGAGCCGAGCCGCCCTGCACCCGAGCCGCCCTGCCGTCGAGCCGCCCGGGAGCCGATCCGCTGTACACCCGAGCCGCCCGGTCGCCGTTCTGCTTTTCTGTCGAGCTGCGCGACCTGCCCTGCCTGGTGAGCACAGTCCCACTGTCACTGCGTGCTCTCCCCCCTACTGCTTGCACTGCTTCACAGTCGTCGTCATGGCTACCCCTAGTGTCCTAGCTTTTGACGCTGAGGGTCGCGCCATTGATTTTGAGGTCTGGCTAGACGACCTGCAGCTGTTCTTACAGTGCGACAGGGCTGATGACCTTTCTCTCTTTGACCTCACCTCTGGCGCCTCTCCTGCTCCTGCTGCTGATGCTGATCCCGCTGTCCGCTCTAAGTGGGCCACCCGCGATGCTGCTGCACGTCTTGCTGTGCGTCGCCACCTCCCTACCTCTGAGCGTGCGCACTTTAGTCAGTACAAGAGTGCTCAGACCTTGTACGACGCTGTAGTTGCGCGCTACTCCTCCCCTGCCACTGCTGCACTGAGCCGTCTCATGCTTCCCTACCTCTTTCCTGACCTCTCTGCCTTTCCCACTGTCGCTGACCTCATTACGCACCTCCGCACTAGTGACACTCGCTACCGCGCCGCCCTTCCTGCTGAGTTCTGCGCTAGGAACCCCCCTCCCATGTACATCGCTCTCTACTACGTAGTCGCGCGCCTCCCTGACTCCCTTCGCGTCGTCAGGGACCACTTTCTCGCAGTCTGTCCCACCACTCTCACCGTCGACCTCCTCGAGAAGGCCCTCCTTGCAGCGGAGAAGAGCATAGTCGCTGTAGGTGCTTCTCGTGGTGACCCTCGCACCCCCATCTTTGAGGGGTGCTCTCCTTCCCCCTTGCTGCCCTCTGTTGCCTCTGCTGCTGCTGCCGACCTGCTTGGTCTTGAGTCGGTCGGCGCGGCGTCTGCCCCTAGTGGGAGACGTCGCTCCAGCAAGGGCAAGGGAGGCAAGGGCGCGGGTGGAGCTGGGGGGGGCGGTGGCGGTGGCGGCGGTGGCGGCGGAGGGAGTGGGGGTGGCGGCGGGACTAGTGGCGGGGGTGGTGGTGGTGGTGGTGGCAGCAGCGGCGGAGACGGTGGTGGTGGTGCCTGCGGTGGTGGTGGAGGCAGCGGCGGAGGTGGAGGCGGCGGAGGTGGAGGCAGTGGAGGCGGCAGCGGCGGAGGCAGTAGTGGTGGAGGAGGTGGAGCTGGTCGGGGTGGTACCCAGCAGCGTAGCGGCGGTGGTGGTGGCCAGCTCTCGCACCGGCAGCAGCAGCAGCGCTCACGGGACATCCCTTCGCCTCAGCAGCTTCGTGAGTGGTACGCTGGGCGTCAGAGGGGTGGGGGTACTGGTCCCTGCACCTACGTTCTTCGTTCCGGCGACCGCGCGGGTGAGCAGTGTGGGGGTGCCCACGCCACCCAGCGCTGCTTTGGCCGCCTGACGGACGCTTGGCGTCAGCAGTTCCCTGGGGCTAGTGAGATCCCTCGCTGGGATGAGCTTCTCAGGGCTGGTGTAGCGATCTTTGATCTTGATTTTGATGCTATCCTTACTGCTATGTATGTTGTGGATTATAGTGAGGAGAATGAGGGTTACCGTTGTTTCCAGCCCGACCCGGGCATTGGTACTGCTGCGCTAGGTACTTGTGAGGCTGCTGCTCTAGGTGCCAGTGCGTCTGCGCTCTCAGGTACTGGTGAGACTGCGTTCTCAGGTACTGAGTCGTCCTCGTCCTCCCTCACTTTCACACTTGACTCCGGAGCTTCTCGCTCCTTCTTTCGAGACCGCACTACCCTTTCGCCGCTCGCCAGGCCGGTTGCGGTCTCCCTTGCTGACCCCTCTGGGGGTCCTGTCCTGTCTCACTTTTCCACTGTCCTCCCGTGTCCGGCTGCCCCTTCGGGCACCCTGTCGGGTCTGTACCTTCCCTCGTTCTCTACGAACTTGGTGAGTGGAG